ATTTGTCACTACAGAGAACACATCTCCACTGCTCTAGAGTCCAGTGGCAGCGTGCTTTACACCACTGCATCCGCCGCTTTGCATTGCACTTGGTGATGTAAGGCTTGTATGCAGCTGCTATGCCATGGAAACCCATTCCATGAAGCTCTTATTGCACAGGTGGCAACCTATCACGGTACCAAAATTGAATTCACTGAGCTCCTGAGAGCGACCCATTCTTTCACAAAATGTTTGTAGAAGCAATCTGCATGCCTAGGTGATTGATTTTATACACCTATGGCCATGGAGGTGATTGGAACACCTGAATCCAATGATTTGGAGGGGTATCCCAATACTTTTGGCAATATAGTGTTGACCTTTGCATTTACAATTGCATGTGCAGCTTCCATGGGTGAGGAGCAAGTAGTGGATTCCCACAAGATTGAGGGCACGCAGAAGACTAATACACAGTGAGCCATCTATGTATCTTTGGCTAGCTTTCCTATCTAAACTGACAAAGATATGACTGCAACAAAATGGTGGCTGTCTATTTACAGACACCGACTCCCTGTTGCATAAATGTAATGAGATGGGTAATCTATTGCATTTTTGAAACATTGTTACTTTTAATTTAATTTTATCTTTGTCAGCCGAAAACAATAAAAATAGTACTGCCCAAATGCCCCTGCAAATCTGTGTCAGTCAGAGCAGCTTGTGAAACGACTCAGACATATTTTGCCATTTTCGGGGTTTATTCATAGATGTCTCTATGATTAAGCCCCAAAAGGGTAAACCGTGTCTGAGGAGCTCTCTACAGATGCATTACAGAAGCTGAAGCCATCTTTAACCAATCTTATTACATTTATGCAACAGAGGGTCGGTGTCTGTGTGCAAATGGCCACCATTTTGGTGACATCTACTGAAGCCTGACAAGCAAATTCTGTCTGTCTTGCACCAGTCTTTTCACATACTGATCTGACGGACATAGATTTGGAGGGGCATTTGGGCAGTACTATTTTTTATTGTTTTGGGATGACAAAGAATTGAATATTCAAACGATCTTAAAAGTAACAATGTTTCTAAAGTGCAATAGATTGCTGTCAAAAAGTGAATGATCTCCATAAAAGTCAAACTTTTTACGCAGAAAACTTTCCAACATTTCCTGCCAGCCAACAGTTGCTATGGACTTCACACATCTCTACATTATCACCTGCCAGCACTTATACACAAGTTTTATTATTGAAATGGGTCTCTACAAAAAATAGACAAAAGAAAGTTCTCTACAACCAGGGACAAAAACAAGGATCTCATGGGTCCACTTTTGAGAACTCGTTTCTCCACCCTTTTTTTTTTTTTTGAAGAAGAAGCCCATAAGGTTGGCTTCCATGGAAAAACTTCAGCATCTCATCTTGGAAAGGTATTCTTGCATCTTCTCTGAACAGCTAACCAATTCTTGTTTAAACAGTATTCACAAACAGTCTGTACTGTAAGCATTCCCTAAAACCCAACTATACATATAGAACATTTATACTGAACAAACAGGAGATGCAACTTCAGCATGATAAACTATCTGCTAATGCACAACAAGAAGTATCTGCTTATGTACTACAAGAAGTATCCGCTAATGTGCTACACCCAATAAAGTGCAAGGCTATTGAGAAACCCCACGTGACGTGACTGGAAATAACAGCTGCTAATCAGGGAGTAGCGTTCCTTCCTTACCCTGACAGGTGAGCAAATAATCCTTGGAGCGTTGGGTTGGGGCTGTATTAGTCTCTTAAGGAACATTGGGATGGAAAGTAGTCATAGACTTGTGTAATACATTCCCGAACAGCAGCTTACATGAAGTGGAGAAAAATGGTATTCAGAATGCCTCTCTGATGTTCATAAGACACTAAAATATGGATTCACCAATTTTAAATAGTCTGCATAGCTGAGTGATTTTTTTTTTCATTAATCATAATCATGAATTGCTCAGATTAGAAGGAACATGTTGACACGAACCCTTAGGCTGTCTGTTGACTGCCGAACATTTGTCGGCTACATGACTGAACCATGCTTGGTTTGCAAAAATCAGACAGTTTAAGGTTAATTTTCAGCCAGCAATGGGAGCTCTGTGATTCAGGATCATTTCCTGGGAGAGGGATGCACTATTCAAATGTCCCCATAAATGAAGAGAAAGGTCACAGGGGGTCCAGCAGTTCTCAGAACATAATAAGCACAGTCTAATTTCTCCGTTTTCATTGTTCTCAGTCAGATATCTGACTGCTAATGGACACCCTAAACAGCAGGTTGTTATCTACGAAACTGAAGAGGGAGTATGATTTAGCTCAGGAGAGGAGAACCTGATAATCTTACACACATAAATGACACATTACTTTTATGAAAGCCCTGAAAGGGCATGTCCTGGGGAAGACATGAATTTTGCTCCTGAACTTCCTTGATGAGTAATGTAAGTGGCAGCCAGCCACGCCACACTGCACTGGAAAATCCAGTCAAATTGACTTCTCACTTCCAGTCAGCAACACACCCCCACCTTCCAGCACAGCTCTGACAGGTACAATACCGAAGAATAGCAGCAACAGGGCACAAAATACTACAACCCCCATACATAAGCTACAGAAAGTAATTCTTAAAGAATATTCCTATGACACAAATACCTTCATATAGTTACACCTCTGGAAATGGTTATAAGTAATGTAAAATATTACAGAATGGAAATACGTCATGTACATAGTTTGAAAATTTGGAAACTGAAATGAAATCATTAGAAACCACCAACTTTTTTTTACAGTTTCACCGGTTTCTGGTTGAGGCAATAAAGAAGAGAGTGCAAAGAGAAAAGATTATGTGTGTCCATAGTAACCAAATCAGCTTTCAACTTACTGAACAAAGAATAGTTAAACTACAGCTTCTGATTGGTTGTTATACGTTACTACATGTTTGACATTGTTCTTTGCCTTGTTGCATCAGCATTTTATGTAGCCCGAACACAATATCTTGGTAAAGGGGGTCTTACTGAACGGTTTTCAGTAGAGTTGATGGTGGCCAAATATAACTCATGTCAGCGCCTTTCTGAAATTCACATTTCTACAAACCACATTTTGCAATTCTAGTTCCAATCCTCCTGAAACTCTGATTATCAAAGCTATACCACATCCAAAGACCCAAACAATAAAAACAGAGAGCTGGAGCATGTGGGACCAGGAAATATATAGCATGAACTTTAGAATTTAAGGTCTGGATTTTGGGGGCTGCAAACTTTTTTCATCAAACATCTCTATTTCTCTCCTAAATGACGAATGGAGATTTCCTTAAAGTGTTCGTTAAGTCAAAATTTTTTTACGTTTTGGATAGAATGTGAAACATTTATAACCTTTGTTATTATGTTCATGTCCCCACTGTGAAGTTCATCATCTATACTGGTTCTGCTGAGTATTGCTTCCAAGACAAGTAAAGGGGAAATCAACATTTTTAAAGGTAGGGGGAAGGTTTCTAAAGGGGAATTCTAGTTAGAAGATAACTATCTAATGGGTATTATCCATCACAGGAAGTAAAAGGGGAAATCTCACCGATGAGACACAGACAGCACAAAAAAAAAATCCTGGAGGTCCTAACCATTACTTACTCTATCCCCCAAAGCTATTTATATACAATTTAATAAAAGAAATCGCTAGTGAGAAACATTGTTTTAATAGGGAGATATGAATGATATGAAGGCAATTGGGAAGGGTGAGGGGTTAACAGACATTGCCAAGTCTCAACAAACAAGAACATACTAGCGAAGGAAACGTGAAAACATTTGCACGTAAGTGGGTCAGAATGCTCTTTAGTAACAGTATACCATTTACAACAGGGGTCAGCAACAGGCTACTTGTGATCTATATAATGATTGCAGTCATGTGATGGTAGATGCAACAAAGCTGTGCTTCCAGCTCCTGACCTCGCCTGCTGCCTCTCAGGCTAGAGTGGCAAATAGGAATTGTAAAGTCGAGGGAAGTACTAGGATCCTCCTTGGCTTCGACATGTCATATGACACAGCCAAAGAGAAAACTGGGAGGACTTCCCTCATTCTGTTGGACACCACTGCATCCAAGATCTGGTAAGAAAATTTTACATATTGAGCCAAGAATATGTGCTGTGAGCAATTTTAGCTTAGGATGTATATATTTGTACAGGATAGGGGTATTTTTGTTTGTAGGGAGAGATGTGTATTTTTTACTACTGACCTACTGCGTGGTACATATTACTGACCCCTACACTATGGGGTTGATTTTCTAAAACTGGAGAGTGCAAAATCTGGTGCAGCTCTGCATAGAACTTCCAATATTTTGGTCAAAGCTTAATTGAACAAGCTGAAATTAGAGGTGGACTGGCTATCATGCACAGCTGCACCAAATTTGAACTCTTCAGTTTTAGTAAATCAACCCCTACATGTTCCATACTACTGAACAGTTGCTAACTTCTGACTACTGGACTCCGGGTTACTTCATTCTGAGTTATTTATTATTACAAATACTTATATAGCGCCATCAATTTACATGGCGCTTTACATATATATTGTACATTCAGTCTTATTCCTGCCCCCTGAGCTCTGCGTCACTTTCACGTGACCCGTGTGCTCTGGGTCAATTACTCCCAACCCCAGAACTCTTCAAATGTTTTACCTATTAGATGGGACCCTGCTAGGTTAGCTGCTTTAAAAAAAACAAAAAACATTGCACCCAGGTGATCTTTGATCTCTTCATGTTGTTTAGGTAGATCTACACTTCTCCAGGGTTGCCTACGCCTATTCTAAAACAATGCATTTCTAATTTTATCACAGCACTTGGGAGAATAGATGTCTTGCACCTAGCATCAAGTAGGAAAAATCAACAATCATCCGGAATGTGTATGTTTTATGCTTTTAAATCCAAAAAACACAATTCAATATGTATGTTGCAGTTTCTAAACATTGTCGTGGGCGTATAATAAAACCATTTTTCTCCAGAAGCAAGCCAAAAAATTAAGATGACCCACAGTCAAAGGAGTAGCAAATGCCAAAATAAGCATTTGATAAAGAATTCTAAGACAACATTTCCTTTTAACAGAAACTTACCTGAGTGTGTCCTGAGGTGACCGGTAAGTGCATCCCTCCTTCGGCAGGCATAGCTACAGAACGGACACTTAAAGGGTTTCTCCCCAGAATGTAATTTAATGTGACGCAAGAGATTCCCCTTTTGAGTAAATGATGCTCCACACTGGTTGCAGTGAAAAGGGCGTTCCCCTGAACAGAAGAAAAATTGACTTGGTTTAGCACCAATTATTAAAAGGTACACCCAATAAACTTTGTGAGATATGGGATAGCAGTTATGTGCCATTCAACAGCGCGGTCAACCAGATTTCACATTTTATCAAAATTCATGTCAAAATAATTTGCTACTATTCTCCTACAATAAAGAGACCTTTCTCAGTTTACTGTAAAATCCTATAATGGACAAAATGTATGGTCAGGTTTTCACAAATAATGAGACTTGATAAACCTTTTGTAATAACTGGGCCATGTAGAGATTAACAAGTACAAATGCAGGACTGACGATCAACACTGGCCAATAAGGTGGAGGATAGAGCTCAGGGATTAGGGACTTCTGCGGTGTTAGAGAAGGAAACTGAAGGTAGGTTTAGACACTACTAGGTGATATAGTCAGTGTAGTAGATTTGGAGAATCAGAAGTATATTTTAACAGAAAAAGTATTGTTTACTTTTATAGAATGGGTGGTATTATAGAGTTTACCCTAATTTTACAGAATGTTTCATGTTTGATTCTCTCCATTTTGTTATTGCATTAAACTTAAATTTGTAGTTTTGGTCACTGAAGGGAGTTTTTATGGTCTCAATAAAATTTCTTGAAAAGGTAGCGCGTGGTTTTCAGCAGGTTGACCGACTAAGGCTTGTATTGTGAATCGAAACAGTTCAGCACAGTCCCCCATGTAGTACTGCTCTGTAAGGAGCAGAAGCTGCATATGTACTGTAAATAGAACGGTCACCATGTACATATATACTTAAAATACTGCATAAAAACAAGGTTATTAAAAATAGTAGCCTAGGTTAATTTGATCACATCTTTATTAAAAAAAAAACAAAAAAACAAAAAACAAAAAAAAACAACCTTGAGAGGATCAGCTGAAATATACAAAAAAAAAAAAATTGGTTATATGACAGATATTTTCAATTAATAAATCACAAAAGCATGTGGAATCAATTGTGTGTGCTTAGCCAACAAAAGCACATCAACAACCTCAACTAAAATTCTGTATGAAAATCTGGAAAAATACAATGCTGGCTACCATTAAGGGACTACAGAGGAAGACATGTTAGCTCAACCTCAAGTGAGTGAGTTTGCTCAGACATAATTCACCCATCAGTTTCATAAGGTTATGAAATGCTCTCATATTTTACTTGTGAAAAACCCTGGTTTTCAAACAGTTGGCTTGAGTCAAAACAGAAAAAAAAAAAAAAAAAAAAAATGAAAAGGCAACTCTCAATTTCAAAACTTGTATTAAACTCATGGAAACACCTGATATTTTGATAGCAAACAACATTATACAATGTGGGAGCAGTTATGACTGTCAAGGGGAATAGGAACTTATGACCATGACTACCTATGCATAAATTGGGGTTCTATCCTCATATGCTCAAAAATGTATATGTGGGACACAATGTATATTTACACCATCAACAAAAAATTTTATAGATATTATATTATAATAGATCTATATATCCATATATATACACACACACACACACACACACACACACACACACACACACACACACAATCTGCAAGTGTAAAAGGGATGACATGTTTCCCATTGAAAGCAGAAGTAATTAGCATTCTTTTGCTTCCGCTGTGTGATGAGACACCTAGCTAACAGGTGGGAGGCCTCACTTTTGTCATTCACTGCATGCACTGTTAGCAATAAGGAGTCATTTCAGAGCTTACTGAGCTTCAAAGAGGGCAAATTGTTGATGACTGCTTAGCTGGTGCCTCTGTGACTGAAGTTTCAAATTTGCTGTGTCGCGAGGTACAATATCAAAAAGTTATGACGGCATATACAGTTTGAGAAAACGTAGTCCGATAAGCGTGGCCAACATGGTCAGCTAACTGAAAGACATAAAGACATTGCGCAGAATTGTGATCCGGAATAAGAAAACAACTGCTGCAAAAGTGACTGCAGAGCTCAATGTCAGTCTTCATGGGACTGAGACAGGGACTTGCCCTCAGAAAGCTCTGACATGACTATTACTAGCAGCACACAGCGAATGACAAATATACACACACTCCTCATCGCCCACTTTATTAGATACTCCTTGCCAGTACCGGGTTGGACCCACTTTTGCCTTCAGAACTGACTTACAGTAATTCTTCATGGCATATATTCAACAAGGTGTTGGGAACAATCCTCAGAGATTTTGGTCCACATTGACATTATAGCATCACGCAGTTGCTGCAGATTTGTTGGTTGCACATCCATGATGTAAATCTCCCATTCCACCACATCCCAAAGGTGCTCTATTGTATTGAGATCTGGTGACTGTGGAGGCCATTGGAATACAAAGAACGCATTGGCATGTTCAAGAAACCAGTGAGAATTTGAGCTTTGTGACATGGTTTATTATCCTGCTGGACGTAGCCATCAGAAGATGGGTACACTGTAGTCATAAAGGGATGGACATGGTCAGCAGCAATACTCAGGTAGGCCGTGGCAATTAAACAATGCGTAATTGATACTAAGGGGCCCAAAGTGTGCCGAGAAAATATCCTCCACACCATTACACCACCACCAGCCTGAACCGTTGATACAAGGCAGGATGGATAAATGCTTTCATGTTGTTCATGCCAAATTCTGACTCTACCATCTGAATGTTGCAAAGGAAATCGAGACTCAGACCAGGCAACATTTTTCCAATCTTCTATTGTCTAATTTTGGTGAGACTGAGCAAATTGTAGCCTCCGTTTCCTGTTCTTAGCTGATAGGAGTGGCACCCGGAGTGGTCTTCTGCTGCTGTAGCCCATCTGCTTCAAGGTTCAACATGTTGTGCTTTCAGAGATGGTATTCTGCATACCTTGGTTGTACAGACTGATTTGAGTTACTGTTGCCTATCATCTCAAATCATTCAGCCCATTCTCCTCTGACATCAGCAAGGCATTTTCGTCCACACAACTGCTGCTTACTGGATATTTTCTTTTTCTGACCATTCTATATAAACCCTAGAGATGGTTGTGCGTGAAAATCGTAGTAGATGAGCAGTTTTTGAAATGCGCAGACCAGTCCATGTGGCACCAACAACCATGCAACGTTCAAAGTCACTTAAATCCCCTTTCTTCCCCATTCTGATGCTCGGTTTGAACTTCAGCAAGTCATCTTCACCACGTCTACATGCCTAAAAGCATTGAGTTGCTGCCATATGGTTGGCTGATTAGCAATTTGTGTTACCAAGCAATTGAACACTTATACCTAACAAAGAGGCCGGTGAGTCTGTATGTATATACAATCTTTAAAAGTGCAACATAGAGTTTGGCAACTGTATGATAATTGGCGCAGACACAATAAGGTGCTATGCACACATGGAGCGCTCTTTCCACTACAATAAGAAATCTGATTGACTATTCTTTGGGATCTCATGGAGCACACTTTATGTTCAGCAATCTATTTTAGCCACCTTAGACTTATGTCTCAGTGTACTCACATGGACTAAATGTCATGCTTCCACATACCCAGAGGTACTGGGTTTTAACTTTGACTCTTTGAGCTAAACAGAGACAGGGGATGGACATTTAGACAGGACATCCATGATGGCAAACCAACTTTACTACAGTTAAGCATTAAAGTTGGGTCTTTCCCTGCCCCAGCCAGCTTGTGGTTGGACAGATGAGAATTAGAAGGCTTATAAAAAAGGTCCTCCCTGTGCCATTCTTCACTTTCCTACTGTCAATATCTCACTTGCCGGCACGAGTATCATAAAGCACCTGAATTCCATGTAGTGTTCTCCTCATTTTCCCAGTCTGTACTCTACTGTGCAGAGGATTGCAGGAGGCTATCACCAAGGAAAATTTAAACTAGTTACCTATAAAAATGTATACATATTGGATTTTAGCACTATTTACACACATAAAAATTATTAAAAAGGTATGTTTAAATCTTAAATTGGGTAACAAATTGTTGCATATGCAGTCCTCCTATTACTTTAAGCTGCTAAGTTAATTTAGTGAAAGCTATGATGACACATTAATATTATTTAAGAAAGACAAAAGAACAACCCATGAGTGTACAATGTATTACCATGTACTAAACGTAAATACTTGTGATGGTAGTAAAAGGTGACTTTACAGTGACTTAAAATGGTTCTAAAAGGTTCTACCTCAATGCATTAAGGTTAAAAAAAAAAAAAAAATTTTGGTGTAGCTACCCCACAGCCCCCTCCTAAATACTTACCGGAGCTCGATCTTGGTCTAGCGCTGTACACAAGAGCAGTGGCACTGCTTTCTCCTCACTGGACTGTGTGAGAACAGCAAAGTCACTGGCAAGAAACAAAAATGCAAAGGGGGGGGGGGGTGCACTGTGTGTGTTGACACAGTGTGGCTCAGGATGGAGCCCGTTTCAGAACCCCCCTAGCAAACCTGCTGGAGGGTACTCAAAGTGGGAAGGAGCGGGGTGGAGGGAATAGAAGCCCTGGCAGTGGACCCAAGAAGGAGAAGGATCGTGGCTGCTCTGTGCAAAACCAGAGCACAGGAGCAGGTAAGTTTAACATGTTTATTAGTTTAGAAAATTTTTAAGTGAACCTGTAATATCACTTTAAAAAGTAAAAAGGTAGAGGGCAAAGTCCAGCAATGTCTGATTCAAAGTTAAAGCTGAACTCCAGGCAGATATAAAAGACACAAATTAATGCAGCTTAGTATTCATCAAAGAGGACTTCAAAGTATTGTTTTTATTGCAGTCACATTGGTCAGGCTACATACTGTGCCAATATAACTATGCAATGAAAACCATATCTGGAGCTTAGCTTAATGCATTTTTCAAAGTGTTTTTTTTGTATAATTACCTGAATTTTTTTTAAGATCAGCTGCTTGCAGTACTGTACAGCAGAACTCAGAGCGTGGGAGGGATAAGCAGCACAAAGAGGCAGTTAATTGTGCTGCAGTGCAAGTAGCATGCAGATACGAAAAGAGAGCAGAGGAACAGAGAAATGAGCCATCCATCTGCTTCTTCTCCTCTTACTGTCCAGTCACAAGTAGTGGGTAAGGGAATAGACTTATAAATGTTGTCCAATTGCAACAGGAAAATTCAGGTCTCCCACCCTGCCAGACAGTGCTCTGCTG